GCTTCAGCTCAGCCCAAGCAAGACTGAGTGGCTTTGGATGTTTGGCCCTTCTGGTGCCGGGGACTTTCATCATTGGTCTTGGATGAGGTGGGACTGCCTCAGACAGACCCAGTGTGCAATCTGGGGGTCCTCCTGGACTCACGGCTCCTGCTTGAAGAGCAGGTGGCAGCCATGGCTAGGAGGGCCTTTGCACACCTTCAGGTTGTGCACCAGTTGTGCCTGTTCCTGGACTGGGAGGCCCTGCTCACTGTCACTTATGCCCTTATGGCCTCCCATCTGGACCACTGCAATGCACTCTACATGGAGCTGCCCTTGAAGAACATTAGGAAGCTTCAACTGGTGCAGAATGTGGCAGCATGGGTAGTTAATGGTGTCAGTTACTTGTCGCACGTAACGCCACTGCTCCGTGAACTGTATTGGTCACCAGTGTGCTTCTGGGTGTAATTCAAGGAGCTGGTTGTCACCTTTAAAGCCCTTCATGTCTTGGGACCAAGTTACTTGAGGGATTGTCTCTTCCAGTTGTTTCTACCCATCCAATGTGGTCAGGCAGGATGGGCATGCTTTGGGTCCTGTTGGCTAAGGAATGCTGGTTGGCGGGGCCTAGCAGATGTGCCTTTTCTGACATAGTGCCTGCCTTTTGGAATATTCTCCCTCCGGAGATCAGGATGGGGCCCCCAGTGTGTGCAGGGACCCGTTTCTGGTTAATTTCGTTACTATGATAGGTGATTTATTCTCAACTGCGATGTATTTTAATTTATGTATTATTGTAATTGTTTTCATTTTTAAAATTTTGTTCACTGCCCAGAGTCACTTGGTGAGATGGGCAGCCATATAAATTGAATCAATCAATCAATCAATCAATAAGTGCCATGAAGCAAAAGATTGTTCCATTCAAAAGCCAAGGACAATGCTTTTCTGCTTGGTGCTCTGACCACCTGGTGCCCAGCTTAGGCACACAGACAGTTACAAAGAGCAGAAGAAACTAAACTCCTTAGAATCACCTGCAAACCAGCACATAGGTTCTGTAGCAATAAAGTCCGAACAGGTAGACAGAAGAGGGAAAGGGGGTTCTTCTAGGCTCAGCAGGAGATGCTGCTGGACAGGACATAGACCAGAGGACACAGCGGCCAAGAGAACCAGGATCCAGGTGGTCAACAGCAAGGGAGGAGAAGAAACCAGGAAGAATCCTGTGGCAGCTGAAGAAGAGGAATCTACAAAGAGGTGGAAGAAAGGAAGTGTAGATGGTGGCAAAGCAAAAACCAGGCGGTTCAGGTGCTGGAAAACCGGGCCAATGTGGGTAAAGGCAACAAAGGAGTAAACACCCTGTGCAGGAAAAGCTGCACAGTTCCTGCTGTGGATGAGTAAGTGTGAGAGGAAAGGGAAGGTAACTACTAAGCCCTTTGGGTCATGAAAGAAAGTGAAAGAGCAGAGGTTTGAATCATTCTGTTAAGGTTCTGCTAGTGCACACGCTCACACTGGTCTACAGTATGTGCTTCCTCATTGGTCATGTAAACAGTCCCTAGAATTATGATAAATACGTTTACACAAGGTCGGTATCATAATAAACATGACTGAAACTCCCGTGTGTGTGTGTGTGTGTGTGTGTGTGTGTCTGGCTTCGTTCCTACCCATACCAACCTTCTGATAATGCCTAGTACCTGCAGGAGCACCTTCTGAATCAGCCCTCTTTCCAGAAGAAGCTTTCAGCCATAACCCCTTTCATGAAGGGAGGGAAATGGAGGCCAGGAGGGGTTGTTTCTCGGCTGGTACTCTGGCCTTGTGGAACAGTTTTCTTCTCCCACAAAAGAGTCTTTGTTCACTACCCAATTCTTAGCGGACTTTCTTCTGAATTTCTCTTGATGACAGTTCTGAGAAGACTTGAATGTTGGAGATAGCAAAGGTTTCCAGATGCTGGTTTTGGTATTTTCTGTTACACACCTGAACTCACCCTGGCTACCTGTGCCTCTCAGCCTGAGTCTCCCTCTGATGTCTTCCCTTGAGACTGAGTTGATGCACAGGGGAGTCTGCACACTGTTGGAAAGATGATTGTGTTAGTATATGTTAACCACGTATAACCATGATGATGATGGAGTGTTCTCACTGGTATGTAATGTTGGTTCCCGAGTGAACCAGTTCACTCTGTAGCAAGTGCAACAGTGGGGTGGGTCAAGTCTTCATGGACTGGTTACACTCTTGTGGAGAATTATAAAGAGGTAGGAACTTTGGAGCCACCTGATAAAACAAGACACCATACATGGTTGGTGCCCTATGAGATTAAAGGATCTGGGTATGTTTAGCCTACAGAAGAGACAGTTGATGCGGGACATGATAGCAGTCTTCAAACATCTGAAGGGTTGATGTCTCATTGGAAAGGGAGTAGACTTATTGTCTCGTACCCCAGAGAGGCAAGATCAGAAGCAGTGGGTTAAAGCTACAAGGAATGAGGTGCAGCCTAGACATTAAGAGGAATTTCCTGGCTGTATGGGTTGTCAGCCAGTGGAACAGGTTGTGTCATGAAATGCCAACTTCTCCTGCACTGCAGAACGGGTGGATGGTCCTTGGTCTGAAGTGCTTTAGTGGATCCTGTACTGGGCAGAGGGTTGGGCTGGAAGACCCTTCCAACTGTAGGGTTCTATTATTCTGATCTTGATTCTTCTGGAACTCATGACTACTGTAGCCCAGGCTACGTGGGAGTCAGTGAGTGACACCTTTAGTTCAGAAAGCTGCATTATTTATCCCGGGTCTCTGGATAAAAAAGAATATCAAGTAATGCTGGAGGGGTGCTAAAGACTCCCCTTTACAATTGTGTGTGTGGCAAAAATACAATGAGAGAAATGACATGAATCCCTTTGGCCATCTCCCTTCTAAACAAGGGAAAGCACACGCATGCATGCGCACACACCCACGCACACACACCCTCCACTGAGGGTGGGGGGAGAATGTCTTTTTTCTGTTGAGAGAAGCAGAAAAGCAAATTCTCTTCCATCCAACTGGATGAGAATTAGAAGAAAACAGTGCAGGATGTTTTCCCGTCTGATACAAAGGCCACTGTTTGTAAAATATACCACAATAATCAGACTGACGAGAACAAAAATGGATTAAAATTAAATCCCAAATGGACCGTTCCCCAAACAATGAATGAGCAACAAAATGGTAGAGGCAGGTCAGTGTAAAAAAAAAGGTGGTGCATATTGGGGTAAAAAAAACAAAGTAAAATTACTTCATATCTAGGCTGATGACATCCGAACTGGCATGACTGGGCATGAAAAGGGACTTTGCAAATGTCATGCCTGAAATTCTTAGAAAGGGAACCGAAAGTAAGACTGTCAATGCCATTAAAGAAATCTACCAGGTCACCATGGAAATCTCCAAAAGGACATTGCACAAGGGGAAAAGCTGCAGAACTGGACAACTAAACATGCTTTCCTTAAATTAAATTAAATTAAATTAAATTAAATTAAATTAAATTAAATTAAATTAAATTAAAT